AATTAATCTTAGACCAGTGATTGTAACTGAAAGCCTTTACACGGCTTTTTATAGGATTAATATTTATAAAATACCGTGTGTATATATATATATATATATATATATACATGTAAAATGATGCTGTCGGACCGAGCAGGAAAACGGACACAAGATTTTAATGAAAGCAAAATAATTTTTATTTGATCATTTTTTGTTGAGTGGCGAGCGAAAAGTGAAGTTTACTCCATTGGCGATCAGTCTTTCTGGTAAGAAAAATCTTGCAAAAAATCCGAAAATGTCTCTATTTAGGGAAATGAGGGAAATCTTAGAAATTATTATTGGTTTATGAAATAGGTCGAGTGATTCCCACGAAGATTAAAGGGAAAAATGTCTTTATTTAAATTTATGCATACTTGAGCCAAAAATAGATTTAAGAACAGGATGTGGCTTTTTAAAAGTATGAGTAAGTGTTTCGATTTGAATAATTAATTAGGATGAAGTTTTATAGCAGAGAAAATAACATATAAAGATTAATAGAAGTTTTTTATGTTTTGTTTATATATATATATATATATATCACCCACTAAATATCAGTGTAAAGGTTCATAGTTTGTAAGTATTAGCTTTAGCAGGAGTTTTTATTACTAAGTTGAAAATTTATATAGAACACTGGCCGGCAAACTGTGGTGAGCAAGCCACGTGTTATATTTTTTTTTTAATTCGAGAACGGCTTCTATTTGGATTAAGTGCGGGCGAGAGAAGTGTTTGCCAACCACTGGTCTATGAAATATTCTTTGATTTATTTGCTTTTGATACAGCTTGCATAAATTATGTTTATAAACATAAATAAGTGGCTGGTGCTCTATGGAAATTATAAAAATGCCGGCAAAGATGTACTTAAAATATTCAATTGTTGTCCAAAGTATGCGATCATACCCACTAAATATCAGTGTAAAGGTTCATAGTTTGTAAGTATTAGCTTTAGCAGGAGTTTTTATTACTATTAGTAATTATATCACTTACCTGTGACGAAGCATCTGTTACAAACTTTCCAATTACAGCGTAGTGATTTATTGAGAAATGCCGCATTTTGTAAATTAACCCTTTGCACTCTAAGTCCTTTCAACAGTTTAAAAAATGAAGGCAACCACTAACATTTTGAAAGATTTTTTACAAACTTACTTTATAATATCTGGAGATCACTGAACGAAGTGGTAACTAAACATAAAGATAAATAAAAAAAATTTCACAATTAGAGTGGTGGATAATTTACAGGCGACTTTGGTGACTGACAATTACCTCTCGAGTGCAAAAGGTTAATAGTCAAACTGATAGAACAAAATGAATAAACTTTATTTTAAAAGTGAAAATACTGAAATTTCCTTGTGATCACTTTCTAGAGACTTAAATAAAAGGGAAAACCGACTCAACTTAAATACGGATCATATTTTCTTTGTGTCGTTGTTGTGTCTAAAAATCTATATAAAAGTATGAAGGCACTAATGTGCATTTATTTACAAAATAATAAGACCAAACAGACAGAACAGCTGCCAACATGGGTGAAAGCCCTTATATAGCAAGACGGAAAAGAGAAAAACCTGGTACGTAAAACATTTCATTCCAGCATTTTTTTCGAAAAAAATGAAATATCTGTAACTATCAAGATTTCTTTTTTAATTCTGGCATACATATAAAACTGCTTCTTTTCTAAGATAAAGTTATCATACAACTCTACTCAAGGGGATCTCCCCATTCCAAAGATGATTTTCCCTTCAAAACTAAAGATTTACTTCTTTAAGGACTTGACTTGTTGTTACAACATACTACAACTTCAAAGATATATAGGACCTTCCAGAATACAACAAAACAGAATCGATGAATCGGTTAGTGGCGCTTCGCGCCAAACGCCGAGATAACCCCAATATCCAGCATCCATCCAAGATAAAGTAGATATAATTGAAAAATTTAAAAAAAGAATGAGTAAACTCCTCCGCAAAACTATTTATAACTGAAATGGTTTTACTACCAGCCTTTCCTCTTTTCCGCCTCGCTTTCACCGCTGGCTGCCAAGCTTTCTACGCTTTTTGTAAAACTTTACTCTATTGGTAGTTAAGTTTATGTTTTAACGTATAATTTTTTATTCATTTACACTTATTTTCCACATCACAATAAATGATTTAAAAGTTCATATGCAACGCCACTTTCAGAGATGTCAACTTGTTCCAGACAGCAAATAAGTATTTTCGAGTGGCATAATTTTATTGTATGACTCTCAGAGTTGCCAACTTGCTCCTGACAGCAAATATATATTTTAAAGTGGTAGCTTATCAATTGTAATTCTTGGTTTAATAAATTCAATTTAGTGGATTTTTATCCACCACTACTTCTAAACAATTCGTAGGCTTATATAATTCACCGCTTTATAATTCATATGTCATGCTGTTCTTCTTAAAAAGCAAGCAAAAATAGTCAAATAATTGCAAAATTTACTTTGTAGTTACTTACCGCTTCTTTCATTATTTTGGCGTGTCCGGAGCTGTTGGCATTTCTGGACTCTTGGTTTAATAAATTCTATTTATTAGATTTTTATTCATCAGTATTTCTAAATAATTCGAAAGATTATATAATTCGTTAATATCTATTTATAACTTCATGTTAAAGATTTATAAAGTAAGCAATTTTTTACCGCTTTTTAAAGTTATTTTGTCGTGTCCGGAACAGTTGTAATCTCTGCACTTTGTTCCAGCTCTTCATGGTGAGACCTTTAAAATGTTGGCCAAATTACCAAAAACTCTGGAAGCTTTGGTTTTTAACCGTTTACCACTCTATTAAATATTCTGCGAAAAGCGTGGTAGTTAGCAGGTATACGTTTAATTTAAAATGTTTCTTGCCTTAAGAGTTATTATCAAAGGAGAAAACAATGTTTATAAACCTATTTATGTATCGAAACCAATACATACTTTTTAAACTTGTACACTCAGAAAAAAATAAACCAAATAAAAAATAATATTTAAAAAGAAGACTTCAACTTTCTGAATAAAACTAATTTCAGATTTGAAATCTCCATCCAGAACTCATTTAGTGCCATGACCAGTTTCTTTAACGAGCAAATTGATCTATGTCATTATTTTCAAAAGCTTATTTTTTAATACGTGGTGGCTTAGGGCGTTCAGGGTGGCTAGAGCGTTTGCCCTCCAATGAGGTAAACCGGGTTCGAATCTCAGAGTTGACTGGTTGATACAAATTCCGCAGTTGGCTCGCATCGACGCTAGGGCTGACGTAAAATATCCTCCATGGTAGACGAATCTTGAATTAGAGTCCCCTTGCAGTCAGGCTAACCTTGAGAGGTTTTCGTGATTTTCTTCACCATGCAACGCGAATGTGGGTAAGTTCCATTAAAAAGTCCTCCACGAAGGCAAATTCTCCCATTACTTGATCCTTGCCTTCTGGATTGGGATCAAAATTACGAGGCTACGAAGTTGAATGTTTGTAGTCGTAAAACGATATGAAAAAGAGTATTTTCATATAAAAGCGAGCTTGGAGCAATAATCATTTCCATTGCTATGTCCAAAATAAATAAAAAAATTGTGCGTCCGGAATATTTTTGAAAAGGTGAACTGCACCTCTCTGTCTTTGTTCTTGGATATTTTTTTCAAAACAAATGAGGTTTTTTCTTCGCCTCACCATCAAATTATTGCCCTCCCCCTTAACTGCATCACCACAATAATAAAGCTCAAGATGAATGGGAAAAGGACCTTAAGCAAGTTCAGACTTGGTCTCTTATAACTGAAAGCCTCCATACGGTTTCTTAAGGTTAGTCCACTATGTAAGTAGTCTAATTTACGCAATAGCCATTCAATAGACCAGTGGTCAGCAAACTTATTAGCCAAAGAGCCAAATATGAACATTACAACAATTTTAGGAAAAACTGGGAGCCAAATCTGCTTGTTTAGTAAACTTTTATTACACTAAACAAGTAGTACTCTAAATAAAACTAAATTTCATACTTAATAAATATTTATTAATGCGAACAATGTGCTTGCATCTCCTTGGAAAGTTTGAGTAAGTCATGTTTGAATGTTGTTGTTTCTAGTAAATATCAGTGTAAAGNAAAACTAAATTTCATACTTAATAAATATTTATTAATGCGAACAATGTGCTTGCATCTCCTTGGAAAGTTTGAGTAAGTCAGGTTCGAATGTTGTTCTTTCTAGTTCTCATCAATAAGACGACTTCTCAGTTTTCGCTTGATAATGTTCATGCTTGAAAAAGATTGTTCGCATATAAATGTAGAACCAAAAAGGGAAAGAACAGCAAACGCGAGCTTTTTCAGCTGATCGTAAGAGTCAGGAGTACTATTCTAAGCGTTGAAAATGATCATGTCTTCCTTCTCCAGGTCATTCAAAGCAGACCACTTGTGTTGTGAACTAAGATCAAATTTTTTCTTCTCTAATATTTCCAATTCAACACAAAGACGTTCGAATTTAGATAGCCATATCTCCTTGTTTNCCACTTGTGTTGTGAACTAAGATCAAATTTTTTCTTCTCCAATATTTCCAATTCAACACAAAGACGTTCGAATTAAGATATAGAAAATGATAATATATAATATTTAAATCCAGCAATTGTATTCCAAAGCTACCAATGACAATTTCAAAAGGAGAAAGTTTCAACTCGGTTATCGTCGCATTAAGAGGATGAGGATTTTTGACAAATGCTAAAGTTGCTCTGCTGTTTTCAAATTCCTGAAGCCTGCTGAGAAATGCTTCCCTCATATTTAAAATTATTGTTTTAAAATGGTGTTTATCAAAAGAGGAATAATTTTCTTGTCGATGCTTCAGCAGGCTCGGAAAGTGAAACAATGTTTATCTTTCAAAATTCTGAGCAAAAATGGATAATTTGTTTTCAAATGTTATTACTTCTTCTAACATCGAAAAAATTAAGTTTCCTTTCTCTTGTAGTTTACGATTAAGCTGATTTAGATGAGACGTAACGTCTATCATGAAATAAAAGTTTTGGATTCACTGATCGTTTGTTAGTTCTGGATACTGAACGCCCTTCTCAAGGAGAAATGCTTTAATTTCCGGAAAAAGGGACGCGAAACGTTTTAAAACGTTCCCTCCTGATAACCAACGTACCTTGTTATGACGCAGAAGATCAGCGTACTCACTCTCCATTTCAAATAAAAATTCTTTGAATTGGCGATGATTAAGAGCTTTAGCTAAAATGGAATTAATAATGGTAATCACTAATTCCATAACTTTACAAATTTCATCTGGAAATGTTTGCACACAAAGCGCTTCTTGGTGAATGATACAATGGTAAACAAGTATCTCGTGATTAATTTTTTCTTTCAAAATAGCAACAAACCCTTTTCTTACGCCGGTCATACTTTTGGCCCCATCTGTTGAAATCGACACAATTTTATCGAGGGGAATATGATGTTTATCCATACATTCAATTACAGCATTTGCGATATCTTCTCCGGGCATCTGACCTTTAAGTGGCAATAATCCTAAAAGTTCTTCTTTAGTTGAAGAGAATGGAAGAAATATTGTGGCGTCAACGCTGGAACTAGCAACCTTCGTTCTGTCGGTCATGTGATTGACAGATTAGCCCTCGCGGCTATAATATGTATCCATCTGCACAGATGTTTATTAAAAAGAGCTTTTTTGAGTTACGGCATTAAAAGAAATTGAAAACATGACTGGAGTAAATGCAGAACATTTTTATTAATAAAGAAATAGTATCATTAAAATTATAAAGTAAATCAGGCATGTATTTTAGCATGTTACTTTAAAACGATGTTATAAATTTTCCTGTTAATTATATTCTTATAAACAGCAGATGTGATAAACTTTTAATTGAATTAAAACAAGCAGAACTAGGGAATATAAAAAGAAAGATCTAATTTTGTTTGATAAATTCTCATTCATATTATTATTTGGTTCCTAAGTCATATAGTCGAATTTTTTCTCTCTTTCTTTGGTGTTATTTATTTGCCCCATCTTACATCTTAACAATTTTCGTCAAAGTTCGAGTGGTGCTTAATCGGCACTTTACGGTTATGTATGGTGAAAAAATACTGTGAGGATAAAAAAAATGCTTGCCCGTAAAGGTATTAAGTACAATACAGCACCGATGAAGCGGACAGATTTGGACCAAAGTCGATCCGAAAAACGAAAAATCGTGATAATTGGACAAATTTAAAAAACGGCTCAAAGAATATTTTTCAGTTTCCCTTCGCACTTTTTCTAGACTCAGAATTGGCAATTATAGTAGTGTCTATTATGTCATATTGCAAATTGTGTGTTCACTATTTAAATTTTATCAGAAACTTTTTCCCTTGTTTGAAACTAATTACCAGCCTCGTGTGCGAGGCAAACGTGAGGTTCTTTTCAAGGGACCAAAGAAGCCATTTTTCGAACTTTGATGCNCTACTAAATTGAATTTATTAAACCAAGAATCACAATTAATAAATTACCACTTTAAAATATATATTTCGCAGAGATGCCAACTTGCTCCGGGCAACTAATATATATTTTAATGTGGTAGTTTATCAATTGAGATTCTTGGTTTAAAAAATTCAATTAAGTAGATTTTTAGCTACCACTATTTCTAAATAATACTTAGGCTTATATAAGTCACCACTTTATAGTGCTTAAGTCATGCTATACCTTTTAAAAAGCAAGCAAAAATAGTCAAATATTTGCAAAATTTACTTTGCAGTTATTTACCGTTTTATTGATTATTGTGGCGTGTCCGGAGCAGTTGGCATCTCTCAGAGATAAAATTCATTTTGTTTTCACAGTGCCACTGTGAAAACAAAATGAATTTTATATAAACTTTCGAATAATTTATGTAGTGGTGTAAAAAATGACTTTAAATCAAATTTACAAAAGGATAAATGATACATTTAAATTCAAACTTAGCTACAACTGAAAGAATTTTTCCCAAAAAGTGTGGAAAGCTGACAGCTCTTAGAACTATCTTATTTTTACCACATAAATACTAACGAAGAAACTCTTGTTCTATCAACTTTTTTTCTCAGTTTTAAGTAAAAGTAAACCATCTTTTTAAAAGGACGCTAGATATATATGGGAATTAAAAAAAACCTGTAAATCCTATTCTTAATGAGTTAAAATAAAATCCTTTTAGTATTACCTCAAGATCCTTAAATTGAAAACTCCTTGGTGTTTGAAGCCAAATGCCACAACTATGACGGGTTTAGTCGCAAATCGTGTGTCATTCTTTTTTTCGTCGAAATAGAACTTACGTAAGTTCTTTTCAGAATCTCACTTTTGTAATTCTTGGAGCTCCTCCCTACTTCCAAACCGCAACCATATAATTTCTATTAGTGGAGAAAGTGTTTATCAGTAAATGATGAATTCGTGTAAGAAAAATAGTTTATAAAATCCAGAATAAGTAAGTTTTGTTATCTGTTGCAGCGGTTCCTAACGTTTTCAGCTGCGGAACCCTAATTGATCGACCTTCTTTTGGCGGAACCCCGATACTTGATAAAAAAAAATTTTTTTTAGAAACTGTGAGCATATAAATTAACAAAAGATTTTTGATTTTGAAAATATGTATTGATCTAAATTTTATTAATTATTTAGAAAGTATTTAGTGAATGAATGAAAAATGAATTTTTTTCAATCATATTGCCATCATAATGTTAGTCCTAAAATTGGGTCTTAAGGCTATTTTTTGAAGGGTCCGTCGACATATGAAATTATGTTTTGTTTTGCGAATAATATGCTTTTTTTATAGCTTCAGAAAATCTGCAACGGTTACTCGCTACTGTTAGGCCAAGTTTAGTCTATAAAAAGCCAGCGCTGTCTACTCTTATTTTGAAAATGGCGCAAAACGTCAATATGGAGGAAAGCCACAGTTTTGTTGAAATAAAAAGCGTATGTGGTCTAATTTTTTATAGTGAAAAGCTTATTCCAATGCTCCATCACTTGGTCTCGTAAAAATTTGCAAAAACTGAGGATAAGGCGGTGATTTTCATAATTTTTATCTAGGGAGAAAAATGTAGCCAAAATGGTGATTATTAAAAAAAGTTTACTAACTTTAAAACTATTTAATTTTTTTGTCTGTTCTAAAGCCCAAATAACTCTTCCCGACAAGATTATATATATAGTTAAGTCCTATTGCTTAAAGTGTGCTATACTATGGCTATTTTTATTTCCCTTGGAGCCGGTCAGGTGACCGAGTGGTTAGCGTGCCTAACTGCGTAGCCAATGGCTGCGGGTTCGAATCCCGCTCTGGGCATGGATCTCTCTCTCTCTCTCTCTCTCTCTCTCTCTCTCTGTGTGTGTTGTCTTCCGATGTGTGAATGTACGAATGTGGCCCACCCTATGAACGGGAATTTGTGTGGCAGTGTGGCGTGAGTAATGTTGCTCGTCTCCGTGACTTTGGTTCACAGGTGCCCACTGGGTAACGATAAATGAGCAACACTTCCGGCATCTTCTAAGGCGAAGAACGAAAGTTCAGTGCCTGCAGTTATTAATTTTAAAAAAAATTTCCATGGAGACAGAGCTTCGAAAGGCAGCGTTAACCCCTTGGGGACGGGTGATTCAGAAAAGCATTCGTACAAAATCAGAATCAGGATGTATGTAATTAAATAAAAAACGGTATAACTAAAATGTAGTCGTTGCTAATTTAACAGACTTACTTTGCTTTAATTATTGTTAGTTTAATCATATATATAATCATCATTAGTTCAAAGTATAACTACTTTTATTTTGAACAAAGTAATGGTGAATTAAATAAATCAAACAATTATAACTCCGCCCACAAATAAACTGCTAAAAAATTACTTTGATTACCAGTTTTATCTTTTTACCCTGGTTGATACGGTTTTATGCTGGCACGTATTTGTGACTGTCGGCGCGAAAGGGTTAAGTCATACAGCAGACATGCCAACTTGCTCTGGACAGCAAATAAATATTTTTAAGTGGTAGTTTATCAAATGTGATTCTTGGTTTAATAAATTCAATTTAGTAGATTTTTATCCACCACTATTTCTAAGTAATTCGTGGGCTTGTATAATTCTCCACATCTTAATAATTATGTCATGCTATACCTTTTAAAAAGCAAACAAAAATAGTTAAATATTTGCAAAATTTACTTCGTAGTTATTTACCATTTTTTTAATTATTTTGGCGTGTCCGGAGCAGTTGGCATCTCTGAAACAGTTAAATTCACAGTTTTGGAGCAGCATGTAGTCTAGTTTCTAATATGATTTTAATGCACGCGTAAACTGATAATTCTGTCTGACATTTAAAAGCTATTTTTTAAGTTATATATTACAGAATTATTTTAAAAAAAGTTATTGTCTCGTAGTCTTACTGGAAACCTAGACTTGGCAACATATTTCAATAAATTAGGAGATCTTCTCCTGAAAACGTAACAGCTATATGACGTTGAAAGAATTGGGTGTAATAGGACCACTAAAGATGGAGCATCTAATGGTGATATGAAATTAACAAATCAAATGCGAGATAAAAAATTTTTGCTTTTGTTTCGCTGTAGAAGAAAATCGTCTGCAAGAAACAATATTTGTTATTCTTTCATCAGTTTTTTTTTTTTTTTTTTTTTTTTTTTTTTTTTTTTTTTTTTTTTTTTGAATGCGAACAGATAGACGTGTATTTGTTACGATTTTTAGAAATCATTTTCATTAACTCGTTAATAGATTATTCAATAAGTTTTGTTTCCTTCATTTCTCACTATTTAAGAAAGCAAGCAAAAGGAAAGCTCTGCAACGTTGTTTCAAAAGTTGGCGATGTTGATGTACGGCTCGCGCTAGGAGATTGGCATTCATTTGGCGTGCATTTGGATACAAACAGACTCTTTCCGTAGGGATAATGGTTTTTTTCTTAACTTGCAACAGAGTATAGTGTACCTTAATGATACTTTAAGCCTAATCCTGTTTATTCCCATTATCAGAGATGGTGGCGTTCTTGGAAAGAAAATTAAATATGACAACTAATTTACTAACGAACAGCAGTTTTTAGGTTATTTAAAATTACCAATGTGGTTGATTTTTTGATTAGTATTTTATTCTGAAAATTACACTATCAGGTGTGCCACAGGTGACTAAAACTCTAGAAAGTGGTAACTAGTAAATAGCAACGATCCATTAAAGATATGAAAATTAGCAACTTTTCCTGGCATTGTTCCTTTAGTTCATTATTGTAAATGATTACAAAGAATGTTTTCTTTTTAACACGTACACGCCGGAAAAAGTGAAAATACTGGTACGGGAAAAAAGAGAAAGTACTGGTAGAAGAACTATTTCAATATTAGATAATATTCGGGAGGAGTTAATCCATTCTCAGCAATAACAATTCGCTGTAAGGAAATTTATCACTGCGAAGAAGCAATTCAATATAAAAATTGCATCCGTTAAAAACAAGTGGTAGCTATGTATTTTTATTATTCCCGGAAAAAAAAACTAAAAAATGAAATTTATTTTTACCAGTTTTTACTCCGGTACGCTGCCAAGATTAGAAAATCTAGCGTGACCCACCGGTGGGTCACCCCGGCGTGAACGTGTTAAACTAAATAATTTGCAATGTAAAGTAATGATGGTAAT